GGTGCGCGAAACTTTAGTTGGTTGAATGGAAGCGCCTGCGACTGCCCCACTCCACAAGTAAAAGAACGGCCCAATGAGAACAGTGCCCCGATTTGTCACCCACAATTCGTGCTTGCAGGCAGCTGCGGGAGGGCAAGCGGGAGGGGAAACCCTAGCACGTGACTCTTATCGGCGCACTGTGCTGGATTACCCGAGCTTTACCAAGACCCACCACACGGAATGTACCTATGGACTTTTCGCGGCTCCTCCCACCAAGAACTTTTCCTTCCCTTCCTCAAACCACCCATCTTCAGGTTGCTTAGGACGGCAATAGTCATATTGTCTAGGTACGTTTGATTGATATTGCAAAGCCATCAGCTTCGCGCACATCGCTTTCCCTTTTCCCCCGATCAAGGCATATTGCGCGCTTCATCGGCTTGATCGCATCGCGATGTTGCGGCGCATGTACCATGATCACGAACATCTCCGATATTCATCTTCCATATTCACCATCTACCCAGCACAATACCTGCCGGCTCCTCTCCAATGGTAGCTCTCGCTAATACAAGCTTCCACCCAGCAGGCAATCATGCAGATCTTCGTCAAGACCCTCACGGGCAAGACTATCACCCTTGAGGTGGAGTCGAGCGACACCATCGACAATGTCAAGTCCAAAATCCAGGACAAGGAGGGAATCCCCCCCGACCAACAGCGACTGATCTTCGCCGGCAAGCAACTCGAGGACGGCCGCACTCTCTCCGACTACAACATCCAGAAGGAGAGCACCCTTCACCTCGTGCTCCGCCTCCGTGGTGGTGCTAAGAAGAGAAAGAAGAAGGTCTACACCACCCCCAAGAAGATCAAGCACAAGCGCAAGAAGACCAAGTTAGCTGTGCTCAAGTACTACAAGGTCGACGGTGATGGCAAGATCGAGCGTCTGCGCCGCGAGTGCCCTGCTGACACCGTGAGTTACTCCATCCCATTCAGCCAACTATCATATCGATACTAATACTATATAAATAGTGCGGTGCCGGTGTCTTCATGGCTGCCATGCAAGACCGACAGTACTGTGGCCGATGCCACCTCACCTATGTGTTCGACAAGCAGTAAATGTCTCTCAATCCACATTATGAGTGCATGAGGTTAGGGACTCGGAATACTGGGGCAGGGTTCATAGTGTAATCATGATAAGGAGATGGACATAGATGGCCTGGCTCAGTCTCAATACAAAAAAATTCATGAACAATTGCTATCGTTTCTGTATTGTGAATAGTCATATGCTGTCGCTAAGATTGTGTCGGCATGCTGGTTCATTGATTCGTAGATAACATTTTAAGAAACGAAGGTAAGGTAAGATGACTTTATAAGTAGGTAGGTACCTACATCTTCTCCATATACCATATGACCCCTATTCCCCTGTGCCCTACATCAAGCCTGCCCGTAATCTCCAGCCGTGTGCTGGGTAAACCGTGCCATTCTCTAGCAAAGTCGATGTCTGGCAATGGGCATCCCATTAAGAGTGAAATCCGTCTAATACCAAGTGTCTAAATCATTCCACGGGCTGTTCATTCCTAGTAGATTGTATGTACCACTGGTGACATGACCCTTATTCCATGTATTTGGTATCCTATTTTCATCTTTTGCCCAATTTCCAAACAGTGAACCACCCTAGATCACCCTAGTTATTAGGAAATCCAGCCCTGAGGTTTTCATACTTAGTATGCGGATACTCAATACAGTTCCGCGTGCCATCCAGCGCCCTCGGTCCGCCTAGAACATCAACCACATTCGCGATCAAGCTCTCCCCACCCTCCTTGTCCGCGCTGCTCTCCCACCACATAGCGCCGCCTAGCCGCCGGTCCTCGCGCACGTATCGCGCCTTACGCCGCGCCATCTCCACCGTGTCGTAGCTGACCAGGGTGCGTGTGCGCGGGTCGTAGCAGTAGCTCGCCCCCGCCTCTCTATCTATGTGCTCAGAGGCGCCCGGGAGAGGCAGCTTCTTGTAGTCGTGTACACCCGCCTCCCACGTGCCTTCACCAATGCCGTTGTAGGGTGCCCCGGGACCGTCCGTGCCTTGGAACGCGCGCCCGTAGAGGGGCATACCGAGCACGATCTTGTGCGGCGGCACTCCGTGCGCTACATAGTAGTCGAGAGCGGCGGACGTGCTGAAGGGTGTGGCCCGCGGGTTTGAGGCGCTGGGGAATAGGTTCGCCTGGTGGCCCGACGTCGAGTCCCACGATCCGGCGTAGTCGTATGCCATCAGGTTCCAAAAGTCCAACAGCCGGTCCATGCCGGGCAGGTCCAGCTTCCCGTAGTTCTGCGCGCCGGCCGGGCACGCGACCGTCAGCTCAAAGTGGTAAGGTGTTGGCAGCGTACGGCTGTAGTTATCCATAGCCTCCCGCACGGCGCGAAGTAGCGATACGAAGTCCGCGGCCTCTGCCGGCGACTGCGGGTACTCCCAGTCCACGTCGATGCCGTCGAATCCTAGGTTTTTAATCAGTTCCACGCACGAGTTGGCGAAGGTGGCGCGACCCTGCGGCGTGGAAGCCGGCTGCTTGAAGTTGCTGCTGTACGTCCAGCCGCCGACTGAGAGTAGGACCTTGAGATGGCGATGCCGCCGTTTCAGCAGATTGAGCTGCTTCAGGCAACCGTACAAGTTGGTGCCCACGTCGTTCCAGCTGTCACCTTCCCAGTGGATGTCCGTGTCGGCCCAAGGATCAGTGAGATACACCTCGCCGGAGTCAGGCCGCACGTTGGCGAAGGCATAGAGGATGTGGGTCAGCTTGTCGGCGGGGAGGTCCTGGGGCCGGTGCTTGCGGCCGTAGATGGCCCAGTTGACGAAGTACGCCACTGTGCGGAATTGGTGGTAGTCTGGACCGCCTCCCATTTTAAGTCCTGGATATAAGAAGTGTAGATTCAAGGGGAATATGTCCGGGATAAGATGGTGGGGAGCTGTAAGGAGACTTGGGGAGATGTGGTACGAGAGCAGAGAGGGGTACAGATGTGTAAGTAAGAAGGCAGTTAATAATACCGTCACCGAGAAGAAGTAGAGGAACAGAGGTCTGAGACTAGGCATGTACTAGATTTCCGGGACAGGTATGGGTTTTATAAGATGTTTCTATATAGGAAGTGAGATGACATGTCCTTTTCTCTGTCTCATAGTAAAGCAAGTTCAAGCTCCAGCTCCAGTTCAGCTCTTGTCGTGTGGCTTGGAGCTTGTGCGTACGAAGTGGCGATGCAAGACACATCCATGTTAGGTACGCAGCTACGTATGCGATACATGAGGCAAGTAAATCGTAGCTTCTCCTGGAATCCAATCAATTTTCAGGCTCCTCTTTCCAAACCTACATGTACGTCAACCTTCCAAGGTTCCTTGCGAGAGTCCAGCTTTACAGCGAACGGAAGGAGAGAGGTGGAGAATGATTGCCTGGCAGTGCCGCAAGTCCGGGACAGCGCAAAGACATTGGACGTGTTAGGTATTTACCCGACAAATTCCCGATAAATCCCAAGCCCTACATAGCTACCTACATCCCTGTACCTGCATAGGTACATTTTAGTTACGTCAAAACAACATTGAACGCAGCATTGAACGTATTGATGTTTTCGTAAAAGAACATTGAAGTTCATGGTCTCTTCGCCCCAACAACAACACCTTGAAATACCCAATTCTAACTCCAGCTTAACCCAAGATGAAGATGCTTGATCCCACACAGTTCGACCGCATTTTCGGTTCTCTGGACCCGTTTCCGTACAATCGCGCATTCGTCCAGCAGCTCGAAAACTCGCGCCGAAATCTTGAGGGCTCTCTGTTCATTGACCGGGTATTAAAAGCTCTAAATCTGTCTAAAGGTATATAGGTATCCCATGGCCTTTCCCTTGGCCGAACTTGCAAACACCTTTTAGATGCTAATGCTACAGTCTGCACATAGCTACCGGTCATTATCCTCCCAAGAATAAAGATGCCCTTCGACAGCTATTCGTACATATTAGCGACAGCAAGAATGCCACCGTCCACCACAAGCTCTCCGTAGTCTACTACCTTCTTCTCGATATTGATGATAGAAACGAGTCCCATCTGGGCGAAACCTATGCTCAGCGTGCCAGCATCCCCATGAAATACAAGATCTTCATGAAGGGCTTGTGGCACATGGACGCCTTGGAGTTCGATATCGCCCTGCAATACCTCACACACCCTTCGCTACAACCCGACTTCGTCGACGACATCATCACCGTCCTAGTCCGCCACGTCAAGAACGACGATTACAGTTTGGCCCTTGCCTATTATCATACTGTTCAGCCCATTATCCAATCGCCTCAGGCATTGGGATTACTATTTGATGCCCTCGCTCGATCCAGTGTTATAGACGCATTCCAATTCTCACGGTCCCACGCCGATTTCATGCGCCGCCAACTCTTCCAACGCCTGGTAATATCTGTACTAGAGTCTGCTCATAAAAAGGAGTCGGTAGACAAGGCGCTTGAGCTGACAAGCCTACCGTTCGATGCACAGGAAGAGCAATGGTTCCAGGAATGCTTGGATAGCGGCGAAGGGAAGAGACTGCCAGGGGCCAATGATACTCTTCTCATGCGAAGAATAGCCACCGGTCGTGTTGGACACGGAGGAGAACCCGGTAATTGGGCTGTAATCCTTGAAGGTTTCAAGACAGGAAGTGGGGGTCGTGCCCAGGCTTAACTGAACAAAGTTTATGGTATTGATTTGTTTTTTGTCGAGGTTGCATAGCGCCGGCGTTGGGGTTCTACTAGACTGCGAGGTAACCTAGCTTGCTGTCGAATAATACAATAACTTTGTTGGATCTAGGTTGTAACGGATGATGCTAGCTTGTGTTCTCTTCTCTGGATTATTACAGCCACTTAGACCAGTACTCCGATAGTTCAGAATGTATCCGACCATCTCCATTGCAGTCGGGGGATAACGCATTGCGAAGCCAAAATACATCCCTAGAATCCAAAAAGAATAGTCCTCTACAGACGTTAGTGGATTGATTAAAATAAAAATGAAACTCCGAATCGGGGAATCGAACCCCGGGCTTGACGGATCCTATGATATCAAATCATGAGAGCGTCAAATGTTAGCCACTACACCAATTCGGATTGATCGATATTCGGCGTGGCGAAATTTTGAACTATATAGCATCGTAAAACGGGCCCGCAATGGCCCCAAAAAGATGGAACTTGATTGGATGTTAACCAGACACATCCAGATAACTGTAGGCTCTAAGTGCATCCCGCGCCGTAATCCTAAGTGCCGGACCCAATCTCGCCATCTTAACAACCAGATCTTTGAAAATTAGATCTGCGTCTTCCCAAGTCTCAAAAGGCCGTGGGCCATTTCCCATGGGGAAAATTGTAGAGAGGATTCTCTTCTTCTATATGCTGTAGGAAACCATTAAACGCTTCTCTGTCTGCGGAAATATGAGAGATGTCGTCGGAGAATATATGGCCATGAATCCTCCAAGTGTTTTGTGCCACGATCCCGAAAGAGAACACATCTGAAGCATGATTCTGACGAGAGCGGGCCCACGATTCAAGACTCCTCCGTAACTGGTTTCCGCAAAGGGGTCCCTTCAAATTTTGCATTCATCTGTTAGATTTTCTATTTATCATAGCCCATATATAATATAAGAAAGAGCCGTAACTTCATCTCTCATACAATAACATTCCCAACCCAAGTGCCCTTCCTACCCCCCCGGCGACATAATTGTTTCCTTTTCCAGACATTACGTACGTTGGTTCCAGTAGTACCGATCTGACCTTTTACCAAAGGGGGATGGTCTCCCACCTCGGACAGCGATCTGAGGACTATGACCACGTTCCATCTCCCCTTGCTCCTCTTCTTCGGGAAGATCATCCTGGACGTCTTCTGCTTCGTCGTAGTCATATTGAACTTCTTGGTAGGAGGGAGAGGGCAACTTTCCCTGACGAGCCGGTCTGGGCGACAGCCTGGGTGAGCTAGAATGAGTTATACCAGACGGGCCAGCCCTGTTTGAGCCACCTTTTCGTCTGCTAATACCTGGCCCTGCTGGCTGCAGCATCGAGTCCGTTAATCTAGGGTTTGGGGTTGTCCTAATCGGCTCGGTGTCGGAATGTTCTGAATAGCCTGAGTATTCATCAACGCCCTCCTCGTGGAAATCGTCATCCCGCTCCAAACGCAGATGAGCAAGGAATGAATCGTCGCCCTTCTTGGTGGACTTCAAGTACTCCTCAAACTCAGATGTCGTATCCGCCACGGCCCGGAATTGCTCACTAGTTAAGATGGCTGGTAATCCATCGTTCTCGCCCGACACGTCCTTTTCATATAGCGCCAGACCTGCCGCAATTTGCACCGCATTTCGGATTTGACGCCCATTCCAAGGCCCCTTTTGCTTCTGGACGGCCTTCGAATATGCGATGAATTCCTTCTTAATGAAGTTTCTGATCTGCTCATCGTAGACTTTGATGTATCCGTCCAGGGAAGACTTGTCTTTTGCCTGCTCGACCCTTGGGAGCCGGTCCAGATTGGACTGGAGTATCTGAAGCGTGTCCTTCAGGCTCAGATGCGGGTAGGAGAGGCTTATGTGCGCCCGTGACCGAAAAGCTTCATCAAGAGCTCCCGTCCTGTTTGTTGTGAGGAAGAGAATACCCCTGTAGTATTCTAAAACCCTAAGGAATACTAGAAAAAATGCTCATCAATACTCAATCTATCCTCCAGAAGGCCATTAAATTAGGTAAAGGTACATACCTCCCACGAGGGCATTGCGCTCGAGGTTGCCACTATTACGGTCTCGCTGCGTGAGGAAAATATCTGCTTCATCAAGGAGCAGGATACACTCCCATAAATGAGCATACCGGAATATATTTCGTAGTGTTGTGTCAACTTCGCCTGGACTAAACCCCAGATCGCCGCAAGTAATCGGGAAAAGGGGCCTTTGATTTTCAATCGCGACCGCTTCTGCGGTAGCTGTCTTCCCAACGCCGGGGGGGCCATGTAGAAGAATCACCAAGCCTTCACCCTTACCCCTAATGATATCCAGGTCGATTGTCGAAGGCCTCTTGTTTTCGCTTTTCTGCGACCTGAAATGAGCGGAGACGGCCGATCGGATCATCTTCCTGTGAGACTCCTTCATCTGAATATCATCTAAGCTAACATCACTCTGCAGCCTGTTCATGTCGATGCTTCCAATATCAAGGCTTGCGAATTTTCTGTCCTTCAAGACGTAAGCAAACAATCTCCTAGGTAGTAGGGCAAGGTCTTCGTCAGTCCATCCCTGATCTTTGAATGTGCGTCCCCCAGAAATAAAGGCATCACTTTCCATCCATTTCCGGGCTTCTCGTGCATATGGCTCATGTTCCTGGGAAAGTATTTTGATTTTCTCGGGTCTGGAGCGTCCAGATCCACGTGAATTCTCCGGATACTCGTTCCATAAAAGGAGCTCCGTTCCGAACTCCTCCACGCAATCCCACGTTGCGGTAGGGATGAAGGACTTTCTTAACAGAGCCTCCCAATATGGGTATATATGAAGAGCCTCTTTAAAATCTATGATAACTTTACTATCCATATGCTCCGCTTGAATCGAAAGGGAGTGCGGGTGGGAGTTCGTCCGCAATCGCTCTCCTAGAATATTGGTAGTGAAAGTCCATCCCGAGTAGTGAACATGTTTAATGCCTTCCGCAATGCATGATTTGAAGGCCCGCCCTGCTTCCTTTTTCTCCTCAAGAAGCTTAATACGGTCAGGGTAGAATGCTAGAGGATAACACTCTAGATCAGCGACAGGTCTCTGACCATGAAAAAATTCGAAACCGACAGTCTTCCAAACCTGTACCAATGTCTCTCCGTTATAGTCGAGACAGTACATGCTCCACTTTGTTTCTGCCAAATCTTCCTCGTCAGTAGAGGTAGAACTAGAAGAAGAATCGTACTCTTCCTCGTCAAATTTCGTAGTATGATCGGCCGGTGTGCATGATACCATCCTCCATACTTGCTGCGCAGCAGACAGGCGCAGTGTATTATCTTGTTGAGGCAAGAAAGCCAAGGACCCAGGTCGGAATAAGTAAGGGATTTCCTCATAAGTAACATGAGAGGGCGGTCTTCCGTCGCAGGCTCCAAACTTATGGCGGATGGGTAGTATAAATCGCTCCACGAAGTTGATGTAGCACCTCATATGTTCCAAAGGAGTATCGATCTGTCTTTCCAGCTTCCCTCCTGCGCTACTGGCTACTTTGGACCGAGCTATATCCTCACGGAAGTCCACATCCCGCTCAGGCTCCTCGTGAGGGAGCTTAGTGGTCTCAAGCAGGCCATTGTGTGACCCCAAGCTCGGCGAGTCCCCTATGGCCTTATTTGCATTCTCCAAGATAGTCAATTCGCGTTTCATGTCCTCGTGTAAGTCCTCAAGAATCCGAAAAGGACGGCAGAACTCGAATTTTGCTTCGTCTTCTAAGACGTCGCTTCCACTCAGAGATGCCAAGGCACAGAGGACCGCCTCCGAGCGGATTCTGACACGCTGGATCCGCCCTTCTTCTGGTGGTACCTTGGAGCCTTGGTGAAATTTCAACGGATCCCCAGAGGAAAACCCGGTCTTGTACTTGCTGCGGAAGTCACTTTTTCGACGCTGACGTTTGCGTCTATCTTCTCTATTGGCTTTCTCAGCCTCTACCTCTTTTCGCCAATCGGCTTTTGAGACGAGGGCTTCGACAACGTAGTCTCCCTCGTCTCCGGCCACCCTATTCATGAACCCTTCGTAATCGTAGAAGCGAACCTCCGATGTAAGGGGCCGGTCTTCCCCTAGGGCGGGTTCATTTTCTGAAGTGTTCCCTTCCTTCGTTATTCTTCCATCAGTTTGTGTAGACTTTTCTACTCCGTACTCAACGATTCTCTCGTTCGATTTAGGGTCCTTGAGTGGACTATGGCCTTCCCCCTTTTCACTGTCCATATTTGGCGGATTTAAAAGGGATATCCACGACCGAAAGATCAGAGTTATGGTTTCTCGTGCCTAGGATTGCGACGCACACGAGAAGTCGTAAGTGGCTTCGATAATGGCCTTTTTGTGGTCGAAATGGTTGTGGGCTGCTATTTAGTGACCGAGAACAACCGGGATGTAGAATATTAGGTGAGAATCTATTTTGATCAACCTCAGCTCACACAACCCCTCTCAGAGCCTCGCCAGTACATATCTGCAGCTTTAGTCCTACTGTCGGACATCAATTGGCCCGATTCAAAATCACTGGGCAGGTTTAAGCGAACCGGGCCACGGTGGCTTTGTTTGACCGAAACGTCGTCTTGCAGTAATCTAATTGCCGCTCATTTGAGGCGTCTATGGCTTGATAATAATAGGAAATTTGCTGAGAAGTCCTAGAATCAAAACTTCTACATGCGCTCTTGAGCGCTCGAGTAGCCACCGGCCTACCTTTGAGTTTTTCGCCTGAAGCGTCACTGGCGATGGAGGAGAGTAAGAGTCCACGTAGACACTCATTCTTACGCCGGGGCTTACTGCGCTCAAAGGCCAGGGGCAAATCTCCCAGTCCTGAGAAAGTAGACAGGTTTCTGCGAGAGCGCGTCAATAGTTTTCGCGATGTACCCCCTGAACCAAGCCAGTATGATGTCGATGAAGAGAGGTTCAAAACTCAAAGTGGAATCGCTCGAGAGTATGCCATATTTCCATTCATTTTATTTTATTCGTATTAATTCAGCTTTGTAGTGACTTAGAGAAGATTATAAACGCCCATGAAAGAGAGCCTGGAATGGTGTTCAAAGTCTCCAACAGCTCCTGGAACACCGTGTTCAATCAGATTACTGCTGCCAAGCGACGCAACGAGGAAATGAAGCATTTTAGTTCTGAGGCTGCGGATAGTGTCGACGTAGTTTTGGCATATATTGATATTATACCAGATGAATACGGCCTTGGGATTCTCAAAGATGGGCTGGCTCTGGTTTTTGAAGTATAGTTACCAACGACCTGGAGTATGTGGCTGGAAGTAGGACTAACTACTGAATCAGGCATCGAAGAGAAACGAGGAAATCAGGACAAAGATTCTCGATGCTTTCGAAGCTCTCCCCGACACTATTGTTACTATTAACACAGCATATGCGCTATTAGAACCAGACCCCGACGACG